TCATTACCGGTGTACCACGAAGCGCATGGCCAGCTAGCTACTAGCTGGCTGGCTAGCTAACTATCAACAGACCCATGTCCACAACAAGAAGTCTTCTCTTCTTTAATAGTGCAATACCAGCCCTGCTTACTTAAACCAATTCGGGTTGGAGGGAGTATTGTATGTGGCTTCGCGTACCGCGTATCTCCTCCGGTTGGTTCAAATGGTTAAGAATGAAGCCACATACGCGAACGACCAATTAAAATAAATGTGTTTCTCGGCGTACGTACGAACCACATGTTCGCGGATAGGAACTTACCTCAGAGCCTCTTCAGGGTTCTGACCATTTGTTGTCTTCTTGGATGGTGGCTTGGCATCAGTTCCTTCCTCCATGGATGGAGAAAGTCGTCGATGTCACCGTTTGGGACTCGTCGACATCACTGTTGTTTTCACTGGAGTCCTTCTTCATGGCCGTAGCAGTTGCACTGGAGAGCACCAGGCAAATTTTGACAGTATGAAATGAAGCTTTGCTGAAGTTTTGAGCTTCCTTTGACTGATCCTCGACAGGTTCTTCCATGTGCATGTAGCGGTAGACGGTGGAAGTACCATTGAAATTGGTTCTGGAGAGGCAAGAATGCCGTTAAATCGCTTTGTTTTTAAATGGATGATGTTCCGTGGAATGTCTTTAAATCATGTATTTCCCTTCAGTGCCTTCTTTGCGGAAAGAAGAGCAAGTCCCATTGCAGACGGTGCGCGGTGCGGGAAGCTCATCGAAATGGAGTGCCAGTCCAGGTCTCGATTTGAACATTTATTTGAACTTGTTGGCAGCTAAAAGGCCAGTGAGGGATGCCTGTAGCGTTCAGAGATCTGTTCTGTCTTTTGTAGTCGTCGGTTAAGCTGCTTGATCCTTTCAGCGTGCCCACGGCAAGGGACATGCTTTCGTTGGCGGGTGCGTAACAGTGCTCGAAAGCTAGCCAGTTGCGTTGCCGAGGTGCTCACACGACCACAAGGCCAACGCACTTAGCTGCATCCTTGTCTTCAGTTGCAACCAACAGTACACTGGTACTATCCAAACTAGCTAGAAGCTTGCTTTCTCGCCATCGACCATTTGAAACAGCGGACGACGAAAGCGGTGCGAGTCACGCTTCAAACCAAAGTCCCAACCAACCTTCTTGCTCCACATATCACGAACGTGACACGGTCGTGCCGGTACCATAGCTAGTGTAAACGTGCCAGCAAAGACTTGGTTGCTCCTAGAGGGCCAAACAAATCATGAACAGCTCACTGCTCCTCTAGAGTCTCCACCGCTGCTATCTATAGCGACAGTCCTCGCAAACGCACAAAACATGCATAGTGGCCACAATGCTACTACAGTAACAATGCCAGAGGCTTGGTTAGCAAAATTGAAATGCAGGATCACATTCAATGTTGGAGGTGAGCTCCTTCACCATTCCGTCCGGTCCAACTGTAACATCAACAGTGATTCCGGAGAATTTGCCTTGATCATACAGAAAAGAATACAACACCTCTTGATTGCCTGCTGTAAGAGTAATCCATCCAAAGTCTACCAACCCATTCCCAAAGCTGTCTGAAACTAGTAGCCTGTGAGTTGTATTGGGGGCAAGAGGAAGAACAAAAGAATACAGCGCTGCTGGAACTTGAAGGGGGGCACTTGATGTTTCCGTCATGACAGGTGATCCTTGCTGCCAAACCCATGTAGTTTCCCATGGGAATCCATCCGGTACAATGTTCAGCACAACCGTCTCAGGATATTCACCAGTAGAGGAGGGTGGGAACCTGCCTGGCCAAACGCCAGGGAAGTGAATCAGGTCAGCACATGTCGATACAAGGGTCACATTTGCAGAACAATCACACCACAAGATAGGACAAAGATGTTCTGGGACAGCTCCGGAGAACTGATTCCCGTCCAGTCTCAGCCCCATAGAGCCAGCCAGTTCTTGGGGAACTGTTCCTGTCAAGTTGTTGTCATGAAGAAACAGTTTCTGCAAGGATATCATAGAACCAATGTTGCTGGGGATTGTGCCGTTCAGCAGGTTCCCAAAAAGGACAAGCTCCTGCATGGACGACATCAGTCCAATCTCACTTGGCAAGGACCCAGAAAGTGAATTGCCAGCAAGATAGAGCCGCTCCAAGCTGGATTGCGACCAGATTTCATCTGGAACCTGCCCCGATAAATCATTGAATTCCAACCACAATTGGGTCAAAGGTAAACGCCCCAGCTCGGTTGGAAGATGACCTGTCAAGTGTCCGCAACAAGCCGAAAAGAACCAAAGACTGCTCATCCTTCCAAAATCTGAAGAAATTTGCCCTGTGAATTGATTTCCATCACTGTAAAACATCCCCAGAGCACTCAAATGTCCAATCTCTGAGGGAATCTGACCAGTCAATGAATTGTGAGCCAAGTACAGAGAATTCAAAGAGCTCAAGAACCCAAGCTCTGTAAAGAGTTGGCCAGTGAACAGATTGGAATCGAGAAACAGCCACGTCAAAGAGTCCAACAGCCCCAGCTCGGTTGCAATTTGGCCCGTCAGCGAATTTGACGATAACGTCAGCGTCTTCAAAGGAGTCAAATAGCCCAGCTCTGTCGGTGTCACTCCCGTCAATTGATTGGATGCCAGAAAGAGGTCAAACAAGCTGGTCAACCGTCCCAGCTCAGATGGAATCTGTCCATTCAATAGATTAAACTGCAATCCCAACCCAAACAGGCCAGTCAGTTGTCCCAGCTCTGACGGAATTTCGCCCGTGATTTGATTCTGGTCGAGCCGAAGAAAAACCAGACCATCGAGTTGTCCCATCTCTGTGGGAATTTTGCCCGTAATGTAGTTGCCTTCCAAAGACAAGGCCGTCAAGGCTGTCATTGTGTAGATTGAAGGTGGTAGCACAGCCGAAATATTGCCTGCAATATTGTTCCATCCCAACTGGATTCCAGACAAGTTGGACAAGAGTGCCAACTCGGGTGGAATCACCGGAGCCAGGCTTGCAAGCTGCAGGTCGTCCAGTTGAAGATTGGTGAATTGTCCAAGGTTGTTGCAGGGAGGAACACCAATGTCGTATTCTAGGACTTTGTCATTTTCAAAGAAGGAAAATCCACTCGAGTACCAGAAGCATTCATCTGTGACATCATCCATCCATCTTTCTCGAATGGGTTGAAACCAATTGTCTCCTTCAAACGAATAATAAAAGGTGCCCAAAGCAAATAGCTGCTGTTTCCTCCATTCGGGCAAATTGGTAACATTTTGATGGTGTGAGAGCCAGTCGTATGCTTCCCATTGGGGTGTACCGTACACTGTTAGTCTCTCCAAAGTGTCGATTGGCAAATTTTCCAGGAGAAAGTCGAGGGATCCAGTTGGGGCTGACGATGGCACTTCGGATGGTTCCATGGAATAGTAGACTGTGGGTGTGGCAGTGGCGGGTAAGACAATGACCTCTGGTTCCTTGTCTTTTTGTGTTGCAACAACAACCCCAACGACAATGGCAGTCGCCAGACAGGCGAGAAACATAAAGGCCACAAAATACAGTGTCTGTCTCTGTCTCTTTTCTTCTCTCTTTTGGACCTGATACAAATCCACAGGAGCTGCCGAGGGTCTCATTTGTTCCTCTTCCTCCTCATCTTCCATGACAGGACTGGCCACGGCCAATTCTTCGTCATTATTATTGTTGACGGGCTCCGTGAGGTTTTGCGGCTCGTCCACGTCATGCGCAAAACTGGGATCGTTGTCCTGGTTTTCGTCTTGCTTGGGATTTTGCATGCAAGAATTCGGACCCATGGGCACGGCGCTATTGTGATTGGCATTGTTATGATGATTCGAAGAAGAAGAAGACAGGGATGGGGCATCATGATGACTCGAAACACCGAGTAGAGAGAATCGAATTCGATGAGTTCGTTGCAGGTCTTCACCGGGAGCACCCATGTAGGCTCCTGGTTCAGAGGAGGTTGTTTGGCTCCTCAAGCTGGTCATTGTTAGGGCCGTTTCTTCGTCTTCTGTCAAAGTTTGCTCGTCGCCATACATTGTGGCATTTTTTCCTTTCTTTATCATTATTTCCTCAGCTGACATAGCCATGGTAGTGTCTGCCCATGTTTGGAATGGGTCCATAGTGGTTGATGATGATGCCCGTTCTGCCACAATATCCATGAGCAGTTCGGAACTAGTTGCTTCTGAAAAGGCTGTTTCTTTCTCCTGATTGACTTTCCTGGCCTTGTGGTAGTTGTTCTGAGTGTCCGTCTGGACCCGTCGCATGGGTGGTGCCTGCCATGGTGAGCGCATCATATCTGAGGACACGGATCTCTTGGCCTGCTTGGGCTGTGGCACAAAGGTAGTACTAGCTTTCTCAGCGTCAGAACGACGGCCACCGCCCATTTTCTTGTCTGGTCCCATACCTGAAAAGGCCGCCATCTTTTCGTTCTTCATCATTATTTCGTCAGCTGATGTAGCGGCAGTACTGGTAGTGGTGTCGGCCTGGGTTGTTTGGAATGGGTCCACAGTGGTTGATGATGATGATGATGCCCGTTCTGCCACAATATCCATAAGCAACTCGGAACTAGTTGATTCTGAAAAGGCTGTTTCTTTCTCCTTGTTCCGTTGCCTCGATGATGTGTAGTTCTTGTTCTGAGCGTCCGTGTGGACACGTCGTATCGGAGGTGACCGTGTTGTATCAGAGGACACGGATCTCTTGGCCTTGGGCTTTGGTATATGTTAGTACCAGTAGTATCTAATTTGCCTTTTGTCGGTTTCATGCCGAAAAGCCGCCATTTTTTCGTTCTCTCATTTCGTCAGCGGATATAGCCATCGCAGTGTTTGCTGGGCTTGGAATGGGTCCGGTGGTGCTCGATGAGGCCGTTCTGCCACAATTCCATGAGAAACTCGAACTACTCTTCTGGAATGGTTGTTTCTTCTCCTGATGGACTGTTCTGGCCTTGTGGGCTCGATTGAAAGTGCGGTCTGGGCCGTCGTATGGTGGGCCTGCCCGGGACCGTGTTGTATCAGAGGACACGGATCTCTTGGCCTTGGGCTTTGGTAATATGTTAGTACCAGTAGTAGTACTAATTTGCCTTTTGTCTGGCTCCATGCCCGAAAAGGCCGCCACTTTTTCGTTCCTCATCATTTCGTCAGCGGATATAGCCGTCGCAGTGTCTGCATGGGATGCGAATGGGTCCACGGTGGTGCTCGATGATGCTCGTTCTGCCACGATGTCCATGAGAAACTCCGAACTAAATCCCTCTGGAATGGTTGTTTCGTTCTCCTGATGGACTGTTCTGGCCTTGTGGGCTCGATTGAGAGTGTCAGTCTGGGCGCGTCGCATAGGTGGTGCCTGCCGCGGAGACCGCATCGTATCAGAGGAAACGGATCGCTTGGCCTGCTTGGGCTTTGGCACAATGGCAGTACCAGTACTAGTGGGAGGAGACGGAGGCGTGACGTTGCGATGGAGTCCTTCCAGCGCGCGTCGTTTGGTCAAGACGTCTTCCAGCATTTGAGAATCTTGCGCCGACAGCTCGGTGGTGGTGGCCAGTACATGTTGTAGCAGAGCAGCCTCTTCATCGCTCCCTCCTTGTTGTTCACCAGCAGACGAGGAGCTCATGGTCGTCGATCAGATCAATCGATCAGATAGATAGATGGACTCGACTCGACTCTCGTTGCTACTTTCGTTCTCTATGATCGCTTGCTTGCCATTGTATGCAGCAGCAACAACGTTGAATTTTAGCTGGCAGTTGCATGTGCAGCTGTACACTTACTACGATACCTCTTGGTGGTTCTTCCTTCTTCATCAATCGTTGGAGGAGCTGTTCACGTGAGTACAACCAAGATTGGATGACTTCTTACCTGGCAAGACTTATTGTCCAAAAGAATGAGGTGTTAAGCCTTATTCGTCCCTTGAGACCCAATGTTTGACAGGGGGAATCCCGAGGAGGTGACAAATAAATGCAGTTAAAAGTTCCTTCTCCTGATAGAGCCTGGGCTATTCGGGTATCTAGCTAGCTAGCTAGCTAGCCGGGAGTGATTTTGTAGTTCGGAACTGCTTTGGTAATTTGGGTCAAGTCCCTACAAACCTAGGCTGGCGTGCTGAATGACTAAGTACTTGAATTGGGCTCATAGCCCAGCTAGACTCAACAAGAGAGGTAGGTAACAGACCTCACAAGAGGTCTAGCACCTGCAGAACTAGACAGTAGTTTAATCGGCTATAGACGAAGGTTGATTCATTGATACATCAAGCACAGCCTTACTCCGTCGTCCTTGACGACCTCCTACCCTGCCCCCTTAGTTGCACACGAAGACGCAGCGCCATCGGACACGACCATGGCACAGTCGGCACCTAAGACCTACGGGGCACTATTCAATGACCCAACCAACAATCCCCTCGGTGAGGACTTCGACACTGCAGAAGTCCGCTCCATCAGACTCATGTTACAATGGAGGGCAACCGACAACCCATCCACCACTGGAGAATTACACCAGGAGTTGCTAGATGATTTTGCAGCCCCCATTGGTGGAGTGGCAGTAATGGTTAAAGAAGCCAACAACCCAGGAGGAAGATTGAAGATCATCCATGGCCTATTCAGGCACCCAGGAGACCCAGGAACACCAGCAGCACCGGAGCGCCGCAAGACATTCTGCTATGTGGATGAAGTCGTGGGAGTTGATATTCAAACAGTAGCCTACCTAGAGGAACAACTGGACATCACGAACCAGGTCATCACATCTGCTACACCACAACGCCATATGGAAGCCCTACGAGCCGACTCCCAATTGGACCTGCTAGGACCTTATGATGGAGCCGATGCCAACACACAAACAGTGAAAGTTCGCAAGTCCATGCTCGTACCTTTCGAACTAGTGGGCCTACTCATCGGGAAGAATTTTACAGCACGAAAGGCCTTCGAAGTTGTGTATGCACATGCACGGACCCGGAACCGTGTTGGTCACTATGAGCCGCTACTGATCTTCCTCATGGTGGCGTCCACGAAGACTACGGACGCGTCCACAGATTCCCTTGTTGCACATGACTCAGTTGGCGCTAACACACCCGTGCCAACACCCCAAGTTCACAGTCACAGACGAGAACACGTCTTGTACCGACAACTAGCTGGTCTGAAACCATTCAGCGGCCCACCAGGCGACCCAGCCATGAGGCAAATGGCTCAAGGCATTCACGACCTAGTAGCCGAGTCCAGACTAGCCAGGACTGACATAGATGAACGCCGCAAAGAAGCCGCAAAGCCTAAGGAGGTCCGAGAACGATTCAAGGACCGCATCACCGATCGATTACTCCTACTCACGGGCGCGAGGAACGATGACACCCTGCCAACAATCTATCACGAGCTAGCTGGCAGAGCCCAAGGAGTCTCGGAACGACAGCTCCTCCAACACGAAGTGGACACCATGGCTGGGAATCTAGGGTACAACGCCCCCATGATCTCCCCCCAGCAAACAATCGCTTTCAAGTCCTGGAAGTTCCAAGGTGACGCATTCCACTCCATCGGAACGGGCATCCTACCTTTTTCAGTTACGCCACCAGGAGCCATGTCCACGGAAGGACAAAAACAATTAGCTGATGACACTATGCGTGCAGACCAGTACGACATGAGTGGAGATCCGGTCAGCAACAGCATCAGTGCGACTGAAGCTCGACAGATGAAGAACCCGAAGGGCTACGTGCCGCAGGACTGGACGGAAGCGGCTTCCCAACTGAAGTCCTACGGCCCAATCCTCGGAATGATATTTGGGGAGACGCACAACAACGTTAGAGACTACAAGGAATTCCTTCTCGAGTACGATCGGCTTGCGCCACAATTGCATGCCGCACTGAACGCCCAATACGGGCTCAAGCTGGCACCGTCCGTGTTGGTGCTCCATGTGCAGCTCGCATACCGAGCGTACTTCGTGAAGCAGATGGCCGTCAGGACCACAACCAGCATCCCCGGGCCCAAGTTGCTGGAGGGACTGTCCGCGTTCGAAACCTACAACAACTTGAACTGGACACCTTCTGTCGACAACATACCGGCGCTGGCTAGGTTGCGAGGAACTACAGGAACTCCCGGTCCACCCCCGCGCAACAACAGGAGTGCCAACAACAATAACAACAACAATAACAACAACAACAACAACGATCAGGATCCCAACAGACGACAGGTGGTGCGTAACCCTAATCGCGACCAGCGATACACGGGGAACACTCCCATGGCCAATAATATACGCACCCGGCGGGTACGGGACGCGATTGCATTGGCTGGTGACAATCCACCTCAGGTTCAGAGGAATGGAGCACAGGCCGACTGCTGTGCATCCTGGCACATCACCGGACGTTGCTACACCACGTGTCCCAGAGCCGCTGATCACGTAGCCAACAGTCCCGATGAAACCAACAACTTACACGAATGGTGCCTCAGAGCTTACGCCTGAGACACCGGCAGACAGCCCGGTCCGCAGCATCGCGAACCGACTGTCGAGCCCGTGACACGCATGATGGTGTCGCCAGAGGTAATCCCCCTTAGTTTGAATCATAGTAGCCACGTTATCGCAACTACTAGTAGTCAACTAGGTGAGTCCACACTCGTCGCGTCCGCCCAGTCAGTTAGAGTAGAGCCCAAGTCCACTGCCAGCACTGTCCAGCCCTCCGTCATCCACGTGTCACAGGTTTCCCACGTAGCACCGACAGCAGCACACGAGCTGCCAGCTACTCCAACGCCACCCGAGGCACAACCTGCACACGAGCGAACCAACGGAATGGACACACCACCTACACGAAGCGACAACCATTCATGCACCGATACTACCGAAGCAACATCAACCGCGATGCTGCCAGACAATCCAAACAACCGAACGAATCCACGGTCCGAGACCGCGGCCATCACAAACAACACCACGCCAACAGTAGCACCACTTCGGGCCCCCACCGTTGACAATATACACCCAGCAGACACACCACCACCGGACGAACTCGATCGGCTAGTACAACAAGCAGTGGAGCGGTACAAAGTCTCCTCCAGTTGGACCGATTTCGTCCAGTCGTCTCGCGACCCTGTGAGTGACTTTCACGTGGACGTGAACGACGTCCAGCACCCAGCACACGAGCTACTGGAAGAATTCAGAACAGAAGGCGCCCCAGTCAACATGACAACGCCCCCATGGCCGGAGGCACGTATACTGGAGGCGCTGGACAGAGGACCACATAAATCGGCAAAGGATCATGTGGAGTTCCTCCGCGAAGAATTCGTCGGAATGATGAACAAGGGACACTGGACCCTTCTTCCGTACAGCGTCATTAAGGGGACAATCCCAGACCTCCGACTGAGCCCTCTTGGGGTCGTACCACAGAGAGAAAGGCGACCACGGACCATATGCGACTACACGTATTTCGGAGTCAATGACGAAACGGAAGCCACAGCACCACTCGAAGCCATGCAGTTTGGCAAGGCATTGCACCGAATCATGCAACAGGTGCAGAGCGCCGATCCAAAACATGGACTCCTATACTTGTCCAAGATTGACATAGCAGACGGCTTCTACAGAGTGTGGGTGAAGGCAGAGGACGTTCCACGGCTGGGAATGCTCTTTCCCACCAGAGCTGGAGAGGAACCAATGGTGGCGTTTCCACTGGTCCTCCCGATGGGATGGAAGGAGTCACCACCCAACTTCAGCGCAGCCACGGAAACAGTGGCAGACATTGCAAACGACAATATACGAAACCGGAACCATCAACCGGCCCCTCATCGTCTGGAAGAAGTATCGGAAACGCCCCCAGCAGATGAGCCGCCTCCTGACGCCGACACGGCAACAACCAACCAACAAGGGCTGGAAAGACCCACAACAGACACCTACCCACGGAACAAATCCAAGAAGCCCATACAGTACTGGGACATCTACGTGGACGACTTCATTGGACTATCCCAAGGCAGCCGCTGGAAACGACGAAGGACGAAGCGCATCCTACTACATGCACTTGACAGCATCCTCCGCGGACTGGAACGTGGTGACACGGAACACCGTCAAGAGCCTGCTTCCGTGAAGAAGATGAGAAAAGGAGATGCATGCTGGACAACTAGAAAGTCCGTTCTGGGATGGATCATTGACACCATCCAGAAGACCATCGAATTGCCAGCACACCGGAAACAACGCCTAATAGAAATTCTGGACAGCATCCGACCAGACCAACGCCGCGTGGCCACGCGTCAGTGGCACAAGGTGCTTGGGGAACTACGCTCGATGGTCATCGCCATCCCAGGAGCACGTGGACTATTCTGCACGTTGCAGGAGGCATTCCGACACAAGGACTCCACGGGAAATCGCCTGCGTCTCACCCAACAGGTACACGATTTTCTCACTGACTTCCGATGGCTAGCCACCAGCATCAACAACAGGCCTACCCGTCTGGCGGAGGTGATACCCAACAACAATCCATCCACCAGAGGAGCATGTGACGCCTCTGGAAAGGGAATGGGCGGGGTACACTTCATCCCAACCGCAGAGGGCACCGTCCAGCCGATCCTGTGGCGATCCAAATTCAACAACAAAGTGGAGGGACAGCTGGTCTCATATAACAATCCACACGGGACGATCACCAACAGCGACCTGGAGCTCGCT